GTCCTTTTAAAAGAAAAGGAAGAGAAGTAGAGGTATCGATACCCGTGAGTCATTTTACCGTTCTCGATCGATAGGGTTAAGTTCTCTCTGTTCTGGTAGAAGTGAAGTCTACAACCCATAGTTCCAGTTCATGAACCGAACATAATGATAGCTAACCTAGCAGCCGGTCTGACCATGGACGGGCGATCATATCGGGTCGTTAACTGATATTAATAGCAGGGCGCGGTATATCTCTACACCACCCTCACCTCCTATTTTTCTCTCTCTTTCTTCTTCCCCCTTTCTTCGCTCCTACACTTCATTCAACTTTTAGGGGATACCCTGTCCTAATTGTTACAAATTAAATCACCAGATATCAATAGAAATCCCTCGAGTACGATATGCAACTTGTTAATCCTTGCTTTCTCACGTTAACGATATATCAAATCGTTATAATCGGTATATACATATACATATTCTTCTTCTTCTTCTTGTCGAAACTTTTCTAACAAAGTTTCACATAATAAAAAGAGGAAAATACTCACAGGTAGTTTTAGTAGTAGTAGTAGTAGTAGTAGTATTGAAACTCACAATGAAATAGAATCTCGCGATAGCCAGGACATCACCGAGGGCATCTATTAGCTCGCGAATAAATTCTTTTTAATATGCCACACACTAACCTGTTGAATGCGTTGCGTTCGTGACAAACGGTGATTACGTTTGCTTTTCTCTTCTTCAGATTCGTCTTTTTCTAATGACAAACATCGCATTGACCAATCAGACCTACGAAATAAAAATCTAAACGATCTCAGGTAATAATATTCTTTTTAGAAAACAAACAGAAAAGATTTTCTCAAATAATGGCTGACGATACTTGGAGATAAAAAGATATTGTTGAATGAAAAAAGTGCGAATGTTTGTTCTCTGTTTTACAGTTAAAGAAAGAAAGAGTATAAAAAAAAAAAAAATAAAAAAAGGGAAAGCTTAGAAAGAGTGTTGCTGTTCATGAAGACGAAGACTTTTGATATTTCCTGCTCCGACCATTAGCCAAGGTACAGGACAGAGAAGCGAGGTGGTGAGGGTGGTGAGGGTGGTTCTCAGGGTGGACGCGAGGAAAGCCTCAGGAAGTTCTAACTCACGGGCAAAGGGGGCAAGCCACCCCTGTCAAGCTGTGCCAGCCCCTACCATTAACATTAACCGAGCATATACAGGGTGTTTGCAATGGCATTATCGATCGGCCTTGTAAAAAAAAAAACGACCAGCGAATCGACGAGCACTCTCTTTCTCTCTCTCTCTCTCTTTCTGTTCAAGTCGTGCAGGAAGCACCTAGTTTACATTCACGAAAGCTAACTCAAAACGCCGATAGACTCATTTGAACGTTCCTATCGTTCATCGTTCATCAAACGATCTTTTCACGGTATAAGAAGTATGGAAAATCATAGATGATGATTTTTGATTATTATTCTTGTTTTGCTACCAACCCCGATAAAAGAAAGATAGTCAATATATTTATTCGTGCGTAACATACGGAATGGAGAATTGCAACGACATCCCTCCCCTAACATTTCCCCGTTTCCTTAGAAAATCCTGAATCCTACATCCGTTCGGACCTTTTCGGTCATGCGTGAAGTTTCCGATCGTCGCCGTCTACGACCGATGCAACGAATATCCTGGGGTCATTCAATAAATAATCTAAGACAATCTGTTACAAATCTACTATGTATAGTAGATCACACTGTAGTGTGATCATCGTTCTTATCAAAAAAGGGCTGAATGATTTTTGACAATTTTTTTCAAATTTCAATTACAACCTAAAATAAAAAAAATCAATCCTTTTTTTTTTTTCCTTTCCCAAGAGTATCAAATATCAACGGGGAGTGAAAGGAGGGAGGGAGGAGAGGGTGGTATCTCGTGTATCATTTTTTTCTTTGGTTGGTGATTGGGTGTTAGAGAATCATGTCGCTATTCGCGACGTCGATCACGCGTGGTGTTGTTGGTTAACGAAGATGACGATAACGATAGATCCGTGTTATCGTATGGACATATACACGTACACAAATATATGTTGGTGGTGATGGTAATGGTTGTTGTAGTGGTGGTGGTGGTGGTCTATCGTGGACCGTATCGCGTGAACGTATCGAACGAACGAACGAACGAACGAACGGAACGTTGGGTATCGCGTGGACGTCTACCCGCCCCATGTTGGGTTTGCCAGTGCATCTATGAAAAGCGTAGTAGACCGGGCACGTGTCGCTCGTGTCGCGCCCTCTCCTTGTTACTGCAATGCGTGGATCAGATAATTTTCGTCTATGACCCGGACATACATACGTAGATCTCGTTTATTCGAATTCTCTAAGCAACTTCGTTGTTAAGAGATCAGAACAATACTATACAATGAAATATAGATTACAATTGAGATAACAGTATACATGAATTATATTCATTGACAAACAAAAAACTTTGTTCAAATTTTTTACATGCAAATTTCAACCCTCGATAAGACGAGTGGCGAGTGAGAGGCGCCAATCACAGTTTATGCCATATATTCGTTAACTTCAAATGAAAGGAATGAACTATTGGTACTTGGAAAGGATTCCTTAGCTTTTATTTGTCAAATTTAATAAACAAAACCTACCTAAACCGATCGAAAAAGTTGTCCTTTGTAAAGGGGATGAAGATCACCTACGATTTGATTTATCGAATTAATTGCATTAGTGACATTAATTGACACTGTATTATTTATGAAGATATAAGAATAGAGTAAAAATAGTGAAATGCACAATACAGCAAGGAAGGTTTTTAAGGGAAAGGTCGAAAGAGAGAAAATTTGTGGCTGTTTCTCTCGGTGTTACCCCTATCGAGAGAGAGAAAAAGGGAGGTGGATGATCCCGCCTCTAAGGAGCTGTATCGGGTGGGAGAGAAGTTGTCGAGGGTTTAGAGGGGTGAAGGGAAGGGTTTGGCAAGTCCTCCCCTCTGTATGTGATATCCCTCCGGGGTGGAGGGAGGAGAGGAGGGCGTCCCGGCGCAGGCTCCGATACAGCCAATCGTCGGACCGCGAGTGATAACGGACGGTGCCGAATGCGTGCGTCCGCGTCTTTGGCCAAGTCCACCGTAACCGGTGGTCCACAAGGGTTCTCCGCAAAAAGCCCATTCCGCGAACGGTTTCACCCCCGTTCTTAGTCGTTGTCGTCGTCGTCGTCGTCGTCGTCGTCATCGTCGTCTTTCTTCTATTGAAGAATTATATTACCTCGTGGTAGATTTTTTTTGGTCAACCCTTATCTATCGAAACTCGAACAACAACAACAACAACAGCAATATTCCGTCCATGCACGCGAGAAATCAACTACTCGTGTTAAAGTAAACGTGTTTATTACTTTCTTATGGTCTTTTTAAATTTATCACCTTGCCAACTACCAATAACCACCACCCCCAAAACCCTTATACCGTGTGTACAAGTGTGTATTGTTTAACAAATGCACCTGATTTTCTATCGTTGTTGTGTTTATCATAGAACAAGTTTGATTTTTGTCGGTGTCGAAACTGTCCTCTCTCACTAACTTGTTTCCCTTTCATCGATCTCGCGTGCTAAACCCTTTTACTCTCCTTCGACTTGATAATATAACCCTTTCCTTCCTTCCTTCCTTCCTTACTTGCTCTTTCTAACGACTCTCGTCGTGTTGTTTGTTGTGTTACTCGCGATCAGTGGTTACGACGATTAAGGTTCAACTTTGTTACTGAAGTTCGGCATACTTTCAACAAACGTGTTACATTGACTATTAAAGGAAAGTAGTGTTAGAGGAACGTTTATACAACATCAAAATAGTCCTGGATTCAAAAGTACTGGATAAGATAACGCGCGGAACCCCGCGTTGACGGTGAGAATTTTTGCTATTTCATTTTACATGGATTTTTGTAAAAAAAAAAAAAAAATAATATGTCAATGGTATGTTTGAACTCTCTAACTCTTTTTCTTTTTCTTTTTTTTTTTCCTGTATTTTCGAGGTCTTTTTCTCTGACGTAGTGATACGTACTGCTATTACCGGAAAGGTCTAATTGAATCAGAGTACAGGAAACGCGAGTAAGCGCGGTTATCTCTTAGCGTGCCAATGAAAGAAACATACGTTGTTCGTTATCATTTTGACTAATAATAAGATGTAATAAGATTCTACATTGTGTGGTATGATTAACAACTGTGCGAGGATTTTACATTGAAAATTAAAATCACTGCAAAGAGTATCATCTTCAAATATATATATACTTTTTAATCTGATAATAACATTTTAATTGATCTCACTAATAAATCTAATAAAATTGTATTCTCATTTGTCCGAAACCAAAAAAAAAAAAAATGAATGTGTCATTTGAAAAAAGGATTTTGTTGCATCTAATTTGACGATTTATTTCGATACTAATTAATGTATTTAAATAAAAAAAAAAAAAAAAATAATAAAATATGAAGAAAAATTGTCCATCGAATCGATTATTAGATATTCGTTGATAATTAATTGGATAAATAAAACAAAAGTTAAAAAGAAAGATGAATCAATCAAGGTTTTTTTGTGTGGATAACAACAAAGTTGCACGTGGATGATAATTGTTGACACTTGGTTAGATTGAATGAAAATGCATCATGTTCAAATCTTCATGAAAACTTCGATATAATGATGTAAAGGGATAAATAAAGAAAATAATAAGTGTTGGCACATCACGTTCGAAGGGAACTGCTCGACTATCGGTTAACGTAGATGCACACGCACGGTTTAGACGAGGTTTCTCCCTCTTTCGCATGCGAATGCGCGTCTATATCAGCCTTACACCGCGACACTGCATTTAAAATAGTATGTGTGTAGGTACGTGCGAGACAGAGACAGAGACAGAGAAAGAGAGAGAGAGAGAGAGAGTGAGAGAGAGAGTGAGTTTAGACGAGGTAGGCTGAGGGGTTTCCGGCGAGCGTTAACAGAGTAACAGAGTGATGTAATGAGGCCCGGAAGCAAGCAATTTGCTGACCGCCGCGGCCACAGTTGCGCGAGACAACCTGCCCGGAGTACCTTCTTCTTGATATCGGCACCAGCATCCCACCGGACTCGCATATTTTCCTTTTTTTTTTTTTTGATAATTATCTTCAATCGTCGATTCATCTCTGTCGTTCAATTCAAATCTAAAATTCCTGTTGTGTTATTTATTTCTCACCGTTTGAATCATCGGGCACGGGTACGACGTTGATGTTCTCTTTTTTTTTTTTTTTTTTTATTTAGACTTGATTAAATTATATCAAATTAGTCATGGAATTTAGCCAAACGTTTTTGATCATACTTAAACGAGTCAATGATACATCATCATCGAATGATTACTTTAGATTTGTTTTTGTATCAGCAACATTGTGTCGATCGGATGATGTGTAAATAAGATTTGTCTTTTTTGTCCGTGTGTGTTGTACGCGGATTAGAATGATACGTTAGTGTTCGTCCACTTGGTGAGAAGAAGTTTTTTATTTGGTGATAATTTAGTGTATTAGTTCGTTTCGATGTTGGTTAATTCGAAGGATTGAATTACGTGCGTCGTCGCAACATTCGCGACAATCTGTCGAGAAATCGAAGGTAATCCCGTCGGCTATGAATTCAATATTAACAGTAATGTTATTCAAATGGTGGTCTTGAACTCATGTTCAAATTAAAATCAAATTGAATATTTTATAAATATCATTCTATTCCTAATGCAAAGTAAAATAGTTGAAATGTACGACGGAATATGTTTGATAATAAACAAACAAAAAACAATCCTTATGAGAGGATTAGAAGAAGAGAGAGATCAAGGCCAGCAATTAAACAGAATCCTAATAAAAAGGAATAAGTTTAAGGAGTTAAAAAGTTTCGGGTGAAATGTGTTTCAGGGGGACTTTGGTGATGTACGACAGCGCTAGCTGTTCGTACGCAGGTGCGCTCGAATTAAAAGGAACCACCGGTAGCGGAGCTGCGGCCGGGGCCGGGGTCGGGGTTGGGTCCGGATCCGGGAGCGGAACCGGAGTCGGGGCCGGAGCCACGACCGCGGCCGCGGCCGCTGCTGCCTCTGCGGTGGTCGCTGGTGTTACCGCTACCAATGTTAAACAAGAAAACTGGCCGTATCGTGGATTGTCATGCGACAGCACGTTTCAACGACTTAAGGAAAGTGTCAAACAGGCTAAACAAGCATTAGCCGATCGTGCTGGTTATCTTCCTGGAGCTTTTTCACCACCCCCGCGTGCCAACCCGTCCGCCATTTCGCCGACCGCCTCCTCCATCACCGGTGAGTGAGCTTCCGTATGCTTTCAATCTTTTCCCTCCAACTATCCCCCAACCCTCATCTTCTTACCTAACTCAACTCTTACGAACGCAACTTTTTTCTTCTTTTTATTACTGCCCCAAAACCAGTTGGGTTCCATTAATGGATTATGAAATATTATTCTGTCCTTGGTATACAATTGTTAACATTTTTTATTTTTTTTTTTTTTTATTTTCTTCCTCTTTTGTAAAGCTGGGTTTTAAATACAATTTCTTTACATTGAATAACTATTATTATTATAAGATTTCAAAAAACACAGAAATATTTAAAATAGTAGATGACTCTCAACTAGAACAATCTGACGAGTTAAAACTATTTGTCAATCGAGAAATGAAAGTTCCAAACAAATTGTTCTCATTACTTCGAGACTAGTATTGTAATGTAAACAAAAGATGGAAAAAATGTAAGAGTCTCTGAGAGAAATGAATGTTTGATATCATTGATCTTATACCAAAAGTCCCTAGACGATGAGAGATAGTAATAGTATCCAATAGAATCGTAGAATGTAATAATTTGCCAGGGTGTTTACCCGTGCAAAGAGATAACAGGTTTGGGTTTTGACTGTTGCTTTTAGCCGTCACCGATTTCCGATTGTATTTTAAAAAGCATCGGTCGCGGGAAGCATTAATTACCCGACCCTGTGTAAATCACGTTATCTGTTGGCCCACGTCCCCGCGAGAAAGAAAAAAAAAGAAAGAGAGAGAGAGAGAGAGAGAGAAAGGAAAATAGATAGGAGAAAATAAAAAAAAATAAAAAAGGATGAAAGGAAGAAGAGGGAGGGGGGTCAATACGGTGTTACGCGAGAGAACTCGTCGACTATTTCCTACGGTCTCTCCAATATCCTGCGTGTTCCTCCGTAATTTAAAGAACGATTGGACAGTTTCGTGCTGCAACCGGTTGGTCCATCCTCTAAAAGCATACCACCACTACCACCATCATACATCCATTATCTTTTACGATTTTCCTCGATGATCGTCGTGGGTTCTTTAAACCCATTTGTGTGTATTATACGTATCCGTTTAAAAATTTTCACAAAACCTGTATCCGATATTTGCAAACGAAGGATTATAACCCTATAACTATCATTTACTTTTTTTCATTTGGTTTTTTTTTTTTTTGGTTTCCATTTTAATATTATTTCCTTTTCTTTTCTTTAAGACAGACAAGAGAAAATAGAAGAGAAGTATAAGAAACGTCGTTTGAAAATTTTGACGTAGAATCCGAATTCAGTACGTCGAGTCGAAGCAAGATGGTGGGTCGATGATGGCGGCGTAGTTGCGAAAATGTGGATGACGAGGGGTGGAGCGGTTAGGGGTTAGCCGGGAACGTATCCATGACGACCGACCGCCCCACGAACCGGCACCCTCCGGGATTCCGGATGTTCCCCTCGACATCCCAGCATCCCTCTTTCCCTCTTCTCCTGTGATGCGACCATCCGCGATCACCGCGTACCTCTCTCTGCTTCGAGAGATAGAAGGAGAGAGAAAGAGAGAGAAAGAGAGAGAGAGAGAGAGAGAGAGAGGGAAAGTCCATAGCCCTTTTTCAAGGGATGTGTCAGATTTAAGCTTGGATTTTTAAGTCAAATCGTATCTTTTATTCTACTTACTTTAGGACAATCATATTTCAACTATTATTATCAAATTTATGACACTAATTATTTCATTTTGTATTTTTTCAAACAAGATTTTTAGATGCAATATTTCATTTTATTTTATTTTATTTTTTTTTTTTTTTATTGTAAAACTTTGTCATCCTAGTATTCTGTTGTATCACACATTGTTTGCCTTTGCTAATTGAATGTTTGCCGAGTTGTGGTGATACGCGTGCCTAGGGAAGAGTTGTTTGTTCGTAAACATGGGTTTAACTTTTTCAACGTTTACAAATCTATGGGTATATATCTATGTCCATCCTACCATCTATGGTGGTAGGTTCAAAGAAAGAGGGAGAATAAAAAGAGGTGTCGTAATACTTGCAATTTTTTAATTATGTTCTTTAATTGCACGGAACGAATGAACGAGCGAACGAACGAACGAACGAACGAGAGGTTCATAGAAGTGGTGAACCGTAACCTTTTGTTCTTTCTGATTTTTGATTCATGATTCTTCTTGCGCGTAGACGCGGATTATTATAGAAGAATTGTTAAGTAAAAGGGCGTATCAGAGAGTGACCGAAACGCGTTGATAATTGTCAGTATCGGTTAACCCGAAGGGATAGGCCAAGGGGGTAAGTTATAAGAGTAAGTCAGTCTGTGAGAAAGAGGGAGGATACGGGGGTGGTTACGGGTGTCGGACACCCTTCGAGCTGGTCCCTAGGAGGTCTGTTCTTTTGGACCCTTTTCATACTGCTTTTTCCCTTTTGCCCCGTAACCGTTCAGCAGTCTTTGCGCCTTGCGTCCCTTCGTTTCCGTTAAGCACCGCCACCAGCAGTACCTCCTCCTACTACTATTGCAATCTTCTCAACCGCTACCTACTAGCAAGTTACTTACGACCACGGGGCCACCCTTCCTTCTTCGCGGTTCGAAGGGTGACTAAGGGTCAGGAACATCCTGACTGTCTCTTCTAGATTAAAATAAAATCAGTGGAATATATTGAAATAAAGGAAACAACGACGTTATGTATAAAATATTTTTGCTTAAAAAAAAAGAAAAAAAGAATGTTGTTTATTTAACTGTTAGTTGTAGTTTGAACGATTAGTATCGGTCCTAGGAACTACTAGGAGTTCCCTTTTATCTATTCTCTATACCACGTTCAGCTTGACCGCGCTCGGTCGATCCGGATCTGTATGCAAGCCAGGTTTATGTCTTTCTACTCGCATTTCTCTCCAACAACTCGCTGCAGGCCCCGTGACTAATCATGATAGTTCCGGCCGGGAATGGCGGGGACACACGACTCTCGGTTCCGGTTCCGGCGCGTGCTCTGCTACCCTGTTTTCTCTCTCTATATATCTCTATCTTTCTTTCTTTCTTTCTTGCTCTTTTCCCTCTTCCCATAGCGAGTCACCCTCGCGCGCAATTATTGCGCTTCGCAACAAAAGACGGCAGCGCCACTAGCGTTCTGAAGAAGAAGAGAAGAAGAAGTCGTCGTTTTCTGTTGCTCCTATCACTGCCTTTGCCTTCGCCACAACCTTAACTCATTCTCCTTATTCTTACTCCTACTCCTCAACTTCCCCCTCTATCCTTTTCTTATCCGCTTGATCTTCCTTATCGCCTATAGCGAAACCTATTTTAACAAGTTAAAGTTGGAATGATAAAAGAACCCTGAAGGAGCAGCTTCTTCCTCTCATCCCTCCTAACCCCCTCTCCATTTTTTTCTTTCTTTCCTTAACGTCCCTTCTTCTCAGCTTTACTCCGACAACTCGGCTCTATCAAACCCCTAAGGCCGAATCATTATTCATCCTCGCGCGACCTATGGCCCACCCAGTTGACGTCGTGAAATAGCCTCGTTAAGTGCTAACTGCCACGGGAGTAGGTAACACCACAACTACAACGATGACTACACGTCTATGGTGGTAGCAGTGCTGGTGGCATTCACGTCGTAGAAAAAAAAAAAAATAAATAAAAAAGATAGGAGATCATGACTCGACGTAAACTCGCGAAAGTGCGAGCGAAATAAAGCATGAATCTCGTTTAGGGCCCACCCTTACGTTTATTCTTGATCCTTGCACGCGATCCTGTGCGCACCCCTTTACAAGCCCGAACCATTTCGTTTCTTTCCCTGAATCGTTCACATCATTTCGACAATCAAACCTAACGCGTGCCGATCACCTTTTTCCTCGTGACTCAGTCAATCTTTTTTATGTAATAGGTTTTTAGGTTTGATTTATGATTGTATTCATCTTTGCCAATTAAAGTGAATAACGTAATTCGTTGGATGAACCAATTGGATAAGTTGGGTCTCTACCTTTTGCCAAATGTTCAGCTACATTCTACATACTTCTGCTGTTATCGTATTTATAGTTGTTATCATAGTTCAACAATGTAGAGAGTTTGAACGATTATCGGTTAGGAAGACTCCAACGAGACCACCATGGATACGTCGTTCACGTTCGCATTTTCCTCCACTGTACGAATCAAGTGGTACGAATCAATATAGAAGTCTACTTGCCGAAGCGTACGGAAGAAAATTACCTCGAGCTTTAGTAATCTTACTGTAGATGGCACTGTCTTCTAACTACCCTTAAAATAGTTCTATACGGCAACGACAGATGTCTCTTCTGCATTTCGCGTAAACCGTAACTTATAAACATATTCTTTTTAATAATGAGGATTGAAAAATTGCAATTGCAATTGAAAAATATGTCAAATTATTTGTAAAAATATTTTATATGCAATATTTTCAATTATTTTCTATCAAAGACAAATGAAAAATTGACGTTGGTAAAATATGTACGATATAATTAAAAGTTTAATATTTAAAAAAACAAGTTAGAGTCTCATGAATATTACATAAAAAAAGTTTGAAAAGATTGTAAGAAAAATTAGACAAGTCAAATCAATCGACTAGTTAACGATCGGACATGACAATGGCCTGCTGAATGATCGCTTATAGTTGAAGGGTCTGAAAGTTAGTAGGCAAGCAGTAAGCACTGCCGATGATACTGCGTAAATGTCGAAAAAAGAAGGAAGGAAGAGAGAAAAGTCATTAGCCAGTTAATCATGCATTATCATGTGTGCTTAATGTACCGTCGATGAAGGAGTGACTGGGGAGTGAGCATCGAAAGGGAAAACTGGCAGCCCCCTTTTTTTTTTCGCTCGTTTCTTAGCTCCTAGTCAATATTGTCGGCGTGCAATGCAGCGTGAACGACACATAGCACTACTCGACAGTTTTCTATGTATCACTGTCTACCCTTCGGCACTCCTTCGTCTCTCGTCTTTAATCGCAATAAAACCAAACCCAAGGGGCTCTTTTCTTATTCTTCTTCTTTATTTTTTTTTTTTTTTTTCTACGAATTAATTTAACTGCCAA